GTACGGCCTGGCATGAAAGTGCCATTCGCGAAACCAGCCTGGAGATGTTAAGTGTGAATCCAGGCTGCGGGCTTCCCGAGCTCCTTTTGCGAGGGAAGACCGGCGCCGCCACTTTTCCATTGTCAAAAAAGTCAAAACGAAGAGCTGGCGTTTTCCAAGAGGTGCCCCGAGCGCCGAAAGGTCTCGACGGCACGAGGGAACGTGGGAGGTTGCTTTGGTTTGCGCTTCGAATCGAGCTTCGTTTTACGTGGGGAGCTGCCAGGGTTGGGACTGTATTTACAGTCCTCTTCGCCAGCTCAGGAACGCAAAAAATACATGCGAAACGCAGCGAAAGACGCGGGAGCCGCCCCTGCTGCTTGCTTTGAAGTCGTCGTTTATTAAAGGAGAACGGTATTTACCGCTTTCCATTCCCCGTTTATTCCCATTGGCACGAAGAAAAGTAAACCAAGCGGAGCTGGAAATCTAGTATGAGAGAGGAAATGTGTTGAACGCTATTCAACAGCAACTCCTAAAGCACAATTAAACAGTCCCTAAACTTGAAATGTTTACTAACTTGAAGAGGCCAACTGTACGTATTCTAAGACGAAAGAAAACCATGGAGTCGAGGTTGGGAACCGCTGTTTTAGCTGTATCTATGCTAGGAGTAGCTAATGCTTTACCAGAAAAAATACTCACAAAAACTGTTGTAGTAGGGGTACACCTATGACATCAAATCTATGCTTTGTAGCACCATGGTAAAACCATTATGCTTGCAGAAAACTGGTATAGACTTGGCCTCATCCCTTGGCTTCCCTGATAAGTCAGCTAAGTAAGGATATTAGTTTTGATGGTGACTTTTTGTGACAAGACATTTGAGTGTTGGGAACTATTCTCAGATCACTAACACTTAGATCACAAGACCACCAGTATAAGGTACATAATTGATAAACCATGTTTAGGTCAGCTGGAGACCTAGAGGTGAAGGGTACCGTATTTTCTAATGAGTTATTTTACAGATATAATTACTATCCAGCTGTGTAGTTGAGAGATGTATATCAACACAGATCTTTGAATAAAAGTTCTTGATATTTTTTAAGGTACCCAGGACACCTCAGAGCAGGGGTGCTCAATCCAGAGCCCACAGGCCAGATTCATGCCCCAGCATTTCATCTAGTCCGTAGGACTGCTCCCAGGTGTATGGGGAGCTTCATGGGCCAAGGCCCAGTCCCAGCACAGGGCTGGGCAGAGGTAGTACAGGGCTATGGAGCCCTATCCCCACATGCAGGACTGGGTGGAGGTGGTGCAAGGCCCTGGGGTACTGATCCCTTTGCACATAGCCTGGCAGAGGTAGTGCAGACCCCGGAGCCTGATCCCTGGACACTGGCCCAGGTGAAGGTGGCATAGGGCCCTAGAGTCTGGTTCTTGTACATGGGGCAAGTGTGAGGCCAGGTGGAAGCAACTTGGGGTCCCACAGCCTTATTCTGGCATATGGGGCTGGGTGGAAGCAGCGTGGACCCCTAGTGCTCTGATCCTGGCACATGGAGCCCAGCAGAAGTGGCACAGGATCCTGAGCCCCAATCTGAGCACATGGGGCTGGGCATGGGCAGCTTAGTCTGAATCGGGGCATTCAGGCCTGATTCTAGGTCATGGGGTCTGATCCAGCTCGCAGACTGGCCCTGTGCCACTCATTTGGTCCATTTTGCCAAAAGCTTGGGCACCCCTGCCTTAGAACAGCGATGCCCAACCTTTTTGCCTCGGAGACCAGATAGGCAGTGCCAGGTCCCTCCGTGGGCTGGATCCAGCTGATGGGCCTGATCTGACTGCGGGGGCTGGCACAGCCCAACCTTGATCTGTCTACTGGGAGGGTGGAGCAGCCCTGATCCTATTTAGCTTGGGGGGCGGGGAAGCAGGGCGGAGTGGCCCTGACCTGGACGCGCTGTGGTGAGGCAGTCCCAATCCAGATGTGCGTGGACATGGGGGAGTTGGCCCTGATTCCACTGTGTGGCAATGGCCCAGGCAAGGCTGGGGCTGGCTGCAAGGAGTTTCCATGGCTCCCCACTGCTACTCTTTCCAACTCATGGGGGGTGCCTAGGGGCCAGATGTCACGGCTCTGCAGGCAGAAGGTTGAGTGAGCCAGCCCTGGCTGAGAGAGTTGTTTCTAAGTCATTTCCCCTTCTGTTCATGACTGAATAGTCCATGCTTCCATTTGGCAACTGAATGTTTTTCAGGGGTCCATGTAGTCATGTATGATGGGCAAAACCTGAATTTTTAATATAAAAATGAAGCAAAAACATCTCCCAAGCCACTTTTTAGATCTTCTTTATGCATGATAAAGAAGAGGAAAAAGGCAAAACATTGGATTTTCTCTGCAGGTCACTTTAAGTCTTTGCAATGTTTGTATTTTGGAGCACACAAATGAGGCACTTGTTTGAATTAGCCAAGGATGGAAGATTGGCATCAGTTACTTATTGTTTTAAGGCTTTCAGACAAAGAGTTGGCAGTGGGAAAACTTCTCATTAAAGCTGTCCACACACACCATGTTTCCAGCTGTAAATTGAGAGCTACATACTAAACTGGTTCTGTTTGCCATTGATTCATGTTCATATAAACTATTTCTTAATGTTGGACAGAAGTTTGTACGTATATCTCTTGAAAAAATCTATAAGGGGCACAGTATTTGAAGTGTGTATATATATGGAAACATGCTGAATATTGCTGCAGATTTTATGTGTATTCATGCATTTTCACTCTTTCTAGAGTACTTAGTGCTCTTGTATTTTCACTGTTCTTCACTCTTTTATCCTATTCGACAGGCATCCAACTATTCAGAAAACCATTTGTTAGCTGGCCAGTCCCAGGGAATTGCTCCCTGGAGCCATCATAAAGTCTTCACTTCATCTTATACAGATTAATATCCCTGATTTATTGGAGCCCAGGAAGTATTGTAATAAGCTGCTTTTAAAAGAAATGTTTTTTAAAAGAAACCCAGTTAATAAAATTGCAGTGGTACATTCTATATATGCTTCTCACCATAAGAGTAGAAGTGTAGCAGTGACAGCTGTTTCCAAATTTCTGGTTTGGAAATATTACATTCAGCATAGACTTGTGCCCCTGCTTGTCTGCACTCATCCCCATCTGTTAGGGTGGCATTGTGCCTACATTCAGCATGATGTGTCAGTTGTGCTAGGGCACATTTGCTAAGAAAAATGGGTTTGGATAGTCTGTAGCCTTAGCTATACAATGTCTGCCTCTTGCATAAGACATCCTTGCTGTGTGCATTTGGCACCTTGGTACATTATATCACGTTACATTTGATCACACCTGTCATTTTATCTGCCAAATACCGGTCTGCATGTGAATAAACAAGACACAAGATTCCAGAGATTCACAGTGGTTAAAAAGAGCAGTATTTTTTTCAGCAGGTATACCACCAAAGGAGACTTGCTGGACAAAACAAAGCTAAACATATGTGCACAAAACTAGGGGTCTTCTGGGCCAACTACTTTTTAAGTCACACACTTGCAGCCCCTTTTGAAGACTATAAATTATCTGTCTTCTGGCAGAAATGAAAGCCAAAGGCTGATAGCAGCATGGGCAAACAAGCCTGGGTGAGTAACACAGATGTGCAAGACCAAAATGCAATTTGTCCATTTGCTATATAAAGTGGGCCTCTCGCTGGTGGAAAATTAGGCAAGTTTGTGATATTATATGACTTTTCCCTGTTATTCTTTAATTTTAATAGAAAGGCAAGGATTCTTACGGTGATATTTTTTATTGGACCAATTGTAGCTTGGATAAAGTTAGACAAGCTTTCGAATGCAAGATCAGAGGAAGCCAGGCACAGGATAGTGAAAAACACCAGAAGAGAAGGGGTGAGAGAAATTCCCAGGTCTAGAAGACTCACAGTTATCAGAGAAAAAGAAGCTGTGGGAGCTCCAGGCCTAGCAAAAGGGAAGAGAGGGTCACTCTCAACTTCCCTTTGTGGAAAGAATTTAGGAGTTGGGTAAGATATAATGTGCCATAAAACCACAGTCTTTGGTTCTTAGTGTTCAGCCAACTTATGAAAAGTTGTTCCCAGGTTAGCCTTTTAAAGGTGTTAAGTAGATTTCTCTTGAGCACAAGGATAGTGAGATCAGAGAGACAGTGGTTGTCGTGTGAGAAATGTGCTCCTAATGGGGTGTGTGCACCTGTTCTTTATTTTTTTTTCTGTGAGACTTCATTCTGGTGCGTAGTTGCTGTTTAGTTTCACCCACATATTTGCCATGAGGATAATTAGTGCATTGCATCAGGTATATTATATTTTTTATGAGTGTTTTGGATAGTAGTGGCTGTGGAGATGTGCTGACAGGTTAATTTTAATACATATTTTGTTTACAAAAATTAATCGGTGAAATTCATTTGGTGGTTGAAGTTTATATGAAGCCAGGGGTATGTGGCCCTAGTTTGGCTTGTTTGCTCTTCTTCAGTAGAATGATTGTTTTGTGATGTACAGGTTAGGAGAATTTCAGTTTTCCTAGATTTACATTTTGATGACATATTATCATTAAATGTTACACGTGTAAAACAGCATAATTTTATCTCTTTCAAAGATATATTTTGTGGGGGCCGGGCGTGAGCCGGGCCCTTTTTGTGCTCTGCGCGGGCTGTGGCCAGCAGCCCGGGCACGCGGGGTCGGAGAGAACGCACAGCACGCTAGAATTAGGCACG